CTGTCTTCTTTCTTTTTCCCCTGAGCACCATTTTTTTCTTCTAGGAAAGTATCGATGATGAAGACTTAGATGAAGATTCAATGATGCAGCTAGATGATGCATTAGCTGCAGTATTCAAGACAAGAGCTGAAGYCACAAAAGAGAAAAAGAAAAAGAAAGGTACAAGCTTCAACCCAATAAACCTCTTTACCTCGGRCGTATTGTTTTCTCATTTCAGACCACATGTCATTCCCTAGAGTATCATTTCTTTGTTTAACAGTTGCACATGAGAAGACACATGAATATGGATACAACTCAAACAAAGAATGTTATTCTTAAGGAAAAGACAATTGGTCTGAAATGTGGAAAATTATTGTGCCCAGGGCCTGGTTGTATGAAGCCTGGATAGCGCTATCCGGCGGATAAATCCTTATCCGGTGGATAGGTCGATGCTATTATCCAATAAATTTATCCACTGGATAAGATTTATCCGTCGGATAGCGCTATCCAGGCTTCGTACAATCGGGCCCAGGTTAAGAGATCTACATTTTTATCTCCTTCAACCGAAAATTAATATTTATTTCAGATAAATCAAGAACCATCCTTCATTTCAAATTAAGGTGAGGAGTTTGTTTTGAGGATATTATAGAGTTAAATAAAAATATAGATTAATATTAGAAATTAAAAAYTTATTAATTCATTGATCCATAGGGTGTTAGACATCATAGAGATCTTCATTAAGAAGCAGTCGACCAACCCATTAGTTCTGGTAAGTTTAGTAAGAAAAGGATTTTACTATGTCTTGTTTTGTAAGGGAAGCAATGAGTAATACAGTAGCTCTATAACTAGCAAACCTGTATCCATCATTCTATAATCAAACTTGGATTTAAAATGTTGAATTATGTTTAGGATATCTTAGGTTTTGTGGGGGGGGGGGGGGGGCAGGGGGAGAAAAGGCACTTTTTTATGCAACAATGGAGAGGTTGAGTCAGATTTCTGGTATTCATTTCCTTTACAGCTATTATATTGTAATGTAGTTGGCCAAGTAGGCCTAGGGCAAGTTGTAGTCGTTAGTGACAGGTTAGGTTAGTTGTGTTGTGACCTTTGTTAGTTCAAGTTAAAACTAATAGTTTTCAAATAAAGTATATCGGAAGAATATTTGTGTGTCGTTACGATATTATTAATTAGTGTTGGTAGTGTTGACCCTTCCCACTAACAGCTTTTATTGAATTCTAATATTTTTTTATGTCTTAGGATCTTGTTGAGCCATTGTTATCACTAGCATGGACAACACTAAATGTCAAGGATTACCAGACATTAGGGGAACGCGCACAAGGGATATACAGGAACAAACTGTGTGCAATCAAAGAGGTAATGAATGCAATATCCATTCATAGACTGACCATTGAAAACGAGCATGCGGGAGCTGCTTGTGAATTGAGAGGTCACCTCAATCTCCCCTGATACATCTTGCTCTCTTATGAAATTCATATGTCGCAGGCCTAGGCCTGTCCCGGAGGGGGGGGCTCAGGGAAAAAAGTACTGGGGATGCTCGTTGTCCCCCCCCCCCCTCCCCGGGGGGCCTGTCACCAGTATATTTTAATTTCGAAAGTTAAGTTATATCAATATTTTCCACAGCATCCGTCATTGACTGATATTAAAGCCGATGAAATACACTCCTGTCTGGATACTCTAGTACACAAAGCTATGTCAGGTAAATAAGTCATGTTGCTATAAATGATCTCTATTTTTGGATTTATGCTTATGGTTATTGATTTGTATGTTATATTTTGTACCAACAGCACCATCACTGAATATAGTAACTCTGGTTACACGAGGCTGTATGCTTTTGGTATGTACTTGTAGTGYTAATGTTAAAGATAATGGCATCTACTGGGTTGCCTGAAGGGTTGCACGACATAGATCAGGCCAGAGGTTGTTTAGCTGTCTGATCATACAYACCTGGTGACTATATAACATCATCATTAATTTCATTATGATTCTTAGATTCGAGTGTTGAAAGGAAAAGCACAGGGACAACCTGAATCATCTGCAAAGAAAAGAAAACATGATAATGGATTGCAAGCAAAAGAAARTGTAAGATACTAAAAATGATGTAGTGTATTAACAATTCATTGATCTTATTTAATTATTAATATTTGGTTAATAAATATGCAGTATTGTTTKGATAATTAATTGGTTATTAACAAAACTAAACAATTGTAAAGGTTGGTGTACTTGATGTTCCAAGAGTAGCTGCTTTGTTTAAAGAAGCTCTGAAAGATTTCATGGAGAAAAGGTACATTTATAACACTGTACTTTCATGACATTTACTACCAAAATCACCAAACTGTGGAAAATAGGCCTGAGTTTTGTTGTGCCCACTTTTGTGGTATACAAAAGAGGGGTATAGCTGTCATAAGAAATTTCAGGCCTATTCCACAGTTTGGTGATTTTCGTAGTACCCTTCTCATGTAATAACCATGTTGACTGGAACAATAGAAATTTCCCCCCGCAGCCTCTCATTCAAGTGCTTCAGAATTACATTTACATGGGAATAAACATAACTGCTTGTGAGGTTCTTTTTCTGCCCCCTATTCTGGCTTTATTTTCCTCCCGACCAGCCTGCTGCTCAGCCCTACAGAAGTGAAGAAAAACAACCTCTGATCGCAGGGTAGAATAAACAAATATTGGAAATGAATCGCAGGGTAGAATAAACAAATATTGGAAATGAATGTATCACTTTACCGTCAAGGTCTGTCGCCCTTAAAAACTGGATGTAGATGTTTGCAAAAAGGTCCACCTCCTT